CTTTTGTCCTGTCTCAGGTACCGTAGCTATACTACTTGCTGGGGGCGGGGAGGTACAATTCGCAACCTATGTTCGCAACCCTCACCACTAGATGCCACTTAAACTTACATACTGAACCTTTAAGTCACTGCATCTCCCGACACAACACCATAGGTGAATTTTCAGTCTGAATATACGTTTTATTGAAACGGCAGCTGATAGTAGTAACAGCAACAAGCTGGCGGACTGCATTTTCAGGTCAGAAATGTAGCTCGGCTGTAAGTGCAAGCCCCCCCCCCGGTTAGCCATAGAGATAGCATTGCAGCGCCCGCAGTTTGTAAAAAAACCTGCCTTAACTTGAAAGTCTATGAGAGCGATCTGGGTGATTTTGACAGACTGAAATCATCCAAAAGGGGCGGGACTCCACAGAACAGGACTTGACGCTGATTGGGCTATGATATTCAGAGCCAAATGTCTGTCTAGAACAGTCAAAGTTAGCTAACACTGGTAGGATGTGTGAGAAAAATACCCTGCCTTTCCTGGTTTGGTGGTGCGTTGCCTGCGCGCCCCAATGAACCGTCCCTGGTAATAGATGATAACAAAACGGTTAGTGAGCAAGACTGATTATTATAGATGAGACTGTTGTCACACTTTAAACCACAGTTAGTAACATTACTGAAAGGCTATTCTACCGTGTTGTTGTCTTGTGCAGTTATTCTAGGGTGGCCAGACGTCCCCGTTTTCCGGGGACAGTCCCCGGTTTTGGTGGCCTATCCCCGCCTGGAGCTGTCCCTGTTTTTAACTGTGTGTTAATTATACTACATAGACTGTATAAGGAGTTAACAGAGCTGAAATCATAAAGACTGGACAGCAGAGCATACAAGTGTCTTGCCGAAAACTGATCTTCATATATAATACATATCATATTTTTTTAATGCCATACCGACCACCAAACCAAAAATGTCCCCCGGTTTTCATTTCAGAAATCGGGTCACCTTAAATTATTCTGCATTATTGTATATTATGTGGATCACGTAAGTTACAGCGATTGAGATGGTAGAGAAGCTGTGTACCTGAGTATCGGTAAAATTACAATAAATCTAAATTTAAAGTTGCAGAACAAACAGCGGTAGATTCGTGTTAAAGTTGCTGGCTGCTCCTGTCTTGCATCAAGGCTAGTATAAACAAATTGCTCCACATTTGCTTTGTAACATTACATCCTTTCTTGCAGGCTAAAATCAACATATGACATAATACTGGTAGTACACAGGATAGTAATGTGGATCACGTTAGCTGGTGAAGTAATGTGGAAAGCCATAACATTGCATATTATATATTGCACCGGATAACATTAGCAACTGCTTGGTGTTAGCCACCGAGCTAACGTGACTCTCTCATGACTCCAGCCTTTCTGATGTTCACTGTTTTCACAAGACGACATCTGATTTTCGTTATAGAATAGTAACTGTGCCTCATATCCCAGAGCCCACTGACAATAAGGCAGTCAAAATATGATTTATTAAGAAGTGATTTCAATGAAAACTACATAGCCTCTTTATACAAGAAAAACCTTAAATAAAAATGAAAGTTAACTGGCAGTCCAGTCTGATACCAAAACAATAATGTTTTCCTGCAAGTTTCTATGTATTGATCTGACTTCCTATACTGCTATACGATGCCCCGCATCGTACTGGACCTCTGCTTCCCTCTCAGCAGTGGTTCCAAGCCCAGACCGGCACGGCTGTGATCCCAGTCCTATAGGAGGATAAGGAGACGGTTCATGGCGGAGCTGATGTCATTGGCCAGGCATCCGTCAGAACAGAAACCAAAACAATGGACCCCTCTGTCCTGCCAACACAAGGTTGGTTTTAGACAAGAGGCTGGAGAGTGCTGTGATAGACCAGCAGCAGCAATGGAACTGACAGCTACAGTTTGACCTTGTCTTGTACTGTAACACCTGACAGTCCTCCAGGGAACCTATTTGATGAAATTTAGGTCAGTCAGCTAAATATTCAAGTTTCAGGTTTATTTGTCACATACTCAGCATATCTCTACATAGCGCAGTGAATTGGCTCCATCCATCCATCCATCGTCAACCTCTTATCCTGTGTACAGAGTCTGAAACTAAATTATTCACGGGCTAAAACAACAACAAAAAAACTCCCTCGGGGGTGTGTTGTGTCTGTACATGACTTCTCAGTAACGGGACAAAACCACACACACACACACATGTCCCAGAGCGCTGAGCAAGGGTTTACAGGGATAAGTGAAAGGCTGATCTTGAAAGTTGAAGCCAAAACATGGGACAATGAAAAGTTTCCTTTGGATGTGCCGCCAGTAGCCGGAGGAGCAGGGAGACGGAGGTCATGTCAGTCCTTCAGAGCCTGCTGTTTTATTTTCCTCTCTACAGTCACAGTCACAGTTAATCTCAGAACTGCGCCCTGCTGTGTCTGACCCCAACCTGCCACCTCCGTCTCCGTGCCCACCACATCGCCATGGCAACAAGGGCCGACCATGTGGTAAGCACACACACACACACACAAATACAGGCCTATAGAAATGCACTCGTAGAGTTTAAATGGGGAAAAATAAGAACCTTCTGATACATATGAAAATGTATTGAAATGTGTTGGCTATTGGCAGAACAGTCAGAGACGACTGTACCAATCACGGACTAGACCTCCGTTGTCTACTGTACTCTAAACCCCACACATACACACCCTCCTTTAGAGAAACAATGGTCAAATCCATAGACCACGAATACACAGAAAAACAAAGTGGCCTGTGTGTGTCTCCCTCTTTCAATCAAACAAGAGTAAGAAGATACAAAGAAAGCACTGACAGTATACAGCACACACGCACGCGCACAAACACACACACACACACACACACACACACACACACACACACACACACACACACACACACACACACACACACTCTAGCAGAGCAGAGGGGCTGTGCTGTAGGAGGTTGGGTGAGTTGGTTTATGCATGACAGCTGAGTCCATCTGCCTTTCACACAAATCACACTACAAGCTCAATCAAACTAAAACTGGGCATTTTCTCAACTTAAATCGACATGGAACTTCTTTGACAGGATCTCTGTGTTCGTGTGTCTGTATTAATATGGACACTATGTATGTGTGTGGGTTTGTGTTGGTGGAATTGCATTGCACACGTGTTTCAGAGTAAGGGTTCAGCGTCAGCTGTGAATGTAGTGTTTGAACAGAGTTAAAGGAATTTTTCACCAAACATTTGTCTCTCACACACACAGACCCAGTCTATACATTGACTTCATACAGTATGTATGGCAGCAGTGGAACACCTCCTCTACACTTCACACTATAACCTGTTGTATTGTGACAAAATAAATCTACCTACCTACCTACCTATACTCCTCTCTGAATGACTAGGCTAATTCTGCTTTGTGCTTATTATTTGGGCTACCATAATAGCACTGTGTGTGTATATGTGTGTAGAAGGCCTCTCTGCCACCGCTACGTACTACGTAAGTACTTTTTAAACGATGCATCGATGAAATAATCTGTAGAAGCTTCGAATAAAATCATCGTTAGCTGCAGCCCTACAACATACAAGCAGCAGTTGAAGGTGGCAAGTCTTCATCCATGCAGATATATCCGAGAGACAGTACGTGATCTGCTCCAAGACGGTGGGGTCATATGGCGGGAAGGATAGGAAGAGCTGAGTAAGAGAAGCCGAGACCCAGTGAGGTGGTGTAAATTGAGAAGAGAAGGGGCCCTAGCACCGAGCCTTGGGACACCCCTGTAGGGGAGGGAGGGAGAGGAACGCCCATGGAGGTAGAATTCGAAACACAGAAGTGCTTTGCCCCAGATGCCCATTGCCAAGAGTGCGGATAGCAGGATCCTGTGATTGACTGTGTGAAAGGCAGCTGATGGGTTAAGCAGGATAAGAACCGAGGACTGGGCTGCACCTACCTTTGCACCTACCTTTGCTTCCGGCTTAACAGCACTACATCTGTGAACACCTTGGACACCCTGTAAATATCCACGGTGAACTGCTTAGACATGCTTGGTTAAATTGCATTTAGTTTATATTTTACTCTTTTATTGTGTCTGTATTATTGTCTTTTGCTTTTTAATGTGAAGCCCTCTGTGACAAAAGTGCTCTACAAATTAATTGTACATACTGTCCAGTAGCTCTAGCTCTACAGGGAAACCTACAAGCTTCTTCAAGCAGCATTTTAAAGTTCTTTAAGTATCAAAATTAAAAATATGTATTATGCAGAATGGACTCTTAGAGTTGATATTTACTACTGATGAATTAAAAGGTAAGCAGCATTCGTGGTCGAGGTGATGATTCAGTTGAGAGCATAGCATCATATTTTATAAACTGATTGTTTTGTGTGTAATCTTATTCTGCAAAGCAACAAGTTACTACTGTATTGTTGTTGTGAGTAAGTATTAAATACTTCCCTCTAAAATGCAGTGAAGTATAAAGTGGTATATAATGGAAATACTCAAGTAAAGTAAAAGTACCTAAAAAATGTACACAAGTACAGTACTTGAGTAAATGTACTTTGTTATTTTCTGCCACATCACTGATGAGCTTTCTTCAATTGTGGATCTGTCGGGAAAACTTAATGGTTGAGACTGAGAGAACATATATTTTGTTAAAATAAAAATCCAAATTAAATGAATTCCCAACAGCAGTGTCTGCAAAGACAACCGTTACATCAGTGTAGGACGACACACATTTTCAGAAGCAGGCTCTGGGAATTATAATATGACAGTCCTGAAATATGTCGAACTTCAAGGAAGTCAGTAGAGCAATGAGCTCTTGGGCTTTGAATTATTCAGGTCGAAATCAAATCACAGCAGTAGAGCAGCAGAATTTCCCAAAATCTTGAAGATCACTACCTGAGGATTTCTTGTTATGTTTGTTGAATGAGTGTGTGACAGATTACTGAACAATGCTTCCATCCTGACACCCAGTGCAAGCTCGGAGTACTGCATTCTTTTTTTAATGAACTCGCCACAATTTAGAAACATCACTTTTATTTAATTGATTCACACAGCTGATTTGAAGTTCTCAACAATAATATTCTGCTCATATTATACCCTAATATTATTAACCCCCCTGTGCTTGGTTCCACAAAGTCACATCACAAATAAAAGACAATAGCTACAAACAAATTCAGGTTGGAAACTAAGATGAAAATATGTATCTATACAGAGACAGAGCTTTGGATGCCAAATAAAGATGGATACAGTGATTTGGGCACTCTAGCAGACAGTTAACAAGGTAAGTACTCAAGTAATGACTTCAGTGACATCTGCAGTGAAACAGCACTTATGATACCATCCTCCACCTTAAGTAATTCATTAAAAGACAAATGAGGTTTAACAAACTGAACCTTTCACTCTGTTTTATTCAACCACCCACCGAGGAGACCTTGTAGAAAACAGAGTCACAGCTGCTGCGGGATCACAGCTCCTCCTTGCCCTTCTGAGAGTCTGAGGTCGACATGGTGTCAGCTGTAGTTTTTTTGGAGTCCTTCTTGGCGGCAACTTTTTTTGTCTTTTTTGCTGCTGGTTTTGCATCTTTTTTGCCTACCTGCTTGGCCGGTGTTTCAACAGTCTGTTTTCCATCTTTTTTAGCAGCAGATTTGCCTTTGTCTGCTGTCTTGGTCTTTGCTTTAGGAGAAGCTTTGGCTTTAGTGCCTGTTGCTGTTTTGCTGACTGGTTTGGCCTCTGCTTTGTCCTTTAGCGAGTCGGCTGGTTTGTCAGCCTGCGTGTCTGCTGGTGCATCCAGCTTCTGCTCTGCTGGTTTATTATCTTGTTTATCGTCTGCTTTTTCCTGGTCAGCCTGAGCAGGAGGGTCTGGGGTTGATGGTTGGGGCTCGGAGATGTCAGCTGACTCCTGTTTGATAAACTCTGTATCCACAGGGGTAGAAAACATCTTCAGCATATCCTGAGCTTGGATTCTCTCCTACAGGACAGAAAAAAACATTTGAGGAAAAGAAGAAAGCAAAATAAGCCAATGAAGAATCAAAGTGCCTAGACCAGAGGCGGAATATCACTCATTCATACTTGACATATGCAATACTTGATTCCTTGGATATTTGCAGAAAACATGTAACACATGGTGGCTGTGGCTCAGGAGGTGTGACATAGTGCAAAAGCGCTTTGAGTGGTCGGACGATTAGAAAGGCGCTATGCAGTTCACAGATGCTGCTGGTAGAATTGCAGAGCGATTCCTACACTGACGTTAGTCTACAGAGATGGATCGTACCTTTTCCTCGTGAGCAGGATCCTGGGTGAACCACAGTGCCACAGCACACCTCTGACCCTTGGTGACAGCTCTGACACCGTGGGGGTTTTCCTTCCCCGCTCCGAACCCGACCACACGGCCGCACTGTGGACGCACCTCAGCCTGGAGAAGTGTGAAAATATAGAACATGTAGCATTGAATAGCAGGGAAGCCCGACATTTCTTACTGGTTTTATTTATAAGTCATGCACATGTTGAAAGAAGGTTATGGAAAGAAAAGCTGAATATTTACCGTGACTGTTTTAGCGTCCAACTCTGTGAAGATGAAATCTCCTCCTTCAAAGTCATCGTTTAGATAAAGGATGGCACTGTGGGGGAGAGACATTAGGATGTTTTGTGGGTTATCATCACCAGCGTTCTCTGGTTGAAAGATCAACTCTGTAGTGTACTTCTGTGTGTGTGTGCTCACCTGTAGTCTCTGTTTGTGTATGCAGGAGGTTCCTTGATACAGTCGTTAAGCTCAGAAACCAGCAAACAGTTGTCCACATGAACAGGGTGACTCAGGTCCTTCCGTTCCTCCTGCTTCTCTGAATTAAAAACAGCGCAGAGAGAAGTTACACCAAAGCACATTTCCTAAACTTTAAAGCAATGCTAGTAAGTATTACAGGGTATATACAGGAGTCCTGCAGTAAAATTCAATACCTTTTTAAGACCTTTTCAAGACTTTTTCAACATATTTTACTGCCGCACCACTTTGAGCTGTAACGGATTAAATCAGCCACACACCTTGACATTTCTGAGGTTTTAAAAGGAATGTAAATATATTTATAACATATTTATCGCCTATATGTCATCAGGTTGTAACGCCACCTATAAATTGAGGCATTCACCAACTTTCTCAGTTGCCTATAACAGCCTGTAAAGGCCTATTGTTTTCTATGTGAAGGACTGGTCAGATTTCCTGCCAAAAGCAACATAAACATAAACTTACATAAACTATGACGTGTATGTACGCAGTATTACAGCAAATCATGTGAAACACAGTGTAATTTTGTGTTTTAGTTGGTTTAAACTAGAGAATGTGAGCTTGCAATGATGTGTGATAACTTTCATCGACCAATTGATCAATACAACAAAATTCAAATAGGGCAGGAGGGAAGAAAGATGAAGGGAATAAACTGAGTGATGAATAACGTAAGTAGTGTAGGCGGTGTAGCACAGATACAACCTGGAGGAGGAACTAGTCTAAATGACTGGATTAGTATAATATTATAACATTAAGTTAAAAGTACATTGTTAACTTAATAGTAAACTGTAAGTTAGATATTAATATAGTCATTATGTTCAATATAATTTCATATAATAGTATATAACTTACCACTAGTGTAATATTAATTCAAATTACAGCTGCTTCAGTTTGGGGTTGTTTTTTATTCATTAACTTTGTGCAAGAAAAATGCTCTAGGCTACATGATAGTCTCCAACCTTGATTTTAGGCAGGCTACTAACTCGTCAATAATCTTTATGCAGAACACTGAGTTCAACATTTATAAAGTTTGTTGCAGCAATTTTTTTTTTTAAATCATCCAGGCTGTGATAGATCTGTCCGGCGGGGTGGGAGTTTACAGTCTGGTGTATTCGTAAATCATTTTCCGGTTCACACGGATCTATTTTTTAGGCGTTTAAGAGTGAAATAGGCGCTCGGTAGATCCCTGCGCCTAACGTTACAGAAACGAATCACACAGTCGCTCTCTGCCTGTCTAGTGTTTTTGGCTACGCATTATAAATAAATGCGTTCACCTACACTTTTAGCAAACAAAGTTTTGGACAAACAGGATTTTCACAAAAATATCTTCAACATTTAATACCTTGTTAAATGGCGATTAAGACTTTTTAATTCTTTTTAATGGCCTTAATTTTTGCAAAATTGATTTATTACCTTTTAAGACTTTTTAAGACCCCGCGGACACCCTGTCTTAACAATAGATCTAATTACTGCATGTTACCCCCTTCCATAACAACAGTCACTAAAGCTCATGGGGGGTGTAGTATTTGAAGCTATTAAAGAGAAATGTGATTTCTCAGAGCAAAGATGAAACATGAATAATCCATTCTACAGTATATATTAAATGATCCAGGAGGCTTGTATGCTGCTCTGATGAGGAATATTGAGGTTATGACTTCAAGAAAACATTTGTACCCTGCTGTGAACGGCCTTGTTTTTCTGATGGATAAGGAAAAGTCTAAAATTGTTCTGTTGATAGATCTAAGAGATTTAAACATTTTATGAATGAACCAATATCATCACCCGGGACAAACCAGGAATCCTGTTTTTTTCTTACGCAGCAGTGGATTAGTCTCTTCCACAGACAAAACACCAGCAAACTGGCCCCGCATGACTCACCATCGATGGCGGAGCGGCAGACCAGGTGGGAGTAGGAGAAGTAGAGCGGAGTGCCCAGACGGAAGTACGACTCCAACACCTTCCTCACCTTCTCGCTGATGTCGAAGAACAGACGGGCGCTCTTCAGTGGAACCTTCCCCTCCTGTCCGAGCTGTAGGAGGTGGAACTTCTCAGGTCAAAGTCTTTCATTTATTTTCATGCAAACTTCTAATGAATTATTGTTGGATAAATAGAAAATGTTTTGTGATGAAAACAACACAGTTTGGCTAAATGCTTTTAGTTATAATTTAGCGAGCAGGACTACAGACCTTCACAGCCTTCAGGACAGTGACTCCCTGGAACATCTCACTGGGGGAGTGGGGCGAAGGACGCCCCCTGTAGCCATCACCTTTTAGAGCAGCTGCCTGGGAAATACGCACAACATCAGCACTCTGACATGATGGGCTGACACACAGACATGGGACACAAACAGGCATCAGGTGACATAAAGATAAAGAGGTACTTTCAATCCAAGGAAGGTTAAAATCAAGGTTCAACTGGACCTGGTTGAAGATGCTTGAAGACATTTTACCTTCAAGAGGCTTCTTCACTTCTGACTGACTGGCAGAGTCCCAGTTATTTAACCTCTGTGGTGTCGTTTTCAACTATTCCTATACCATCACCTTGATAACGATCTTCTATCTTCACCCAAGTCCAGTTGGCCTTGATTTGAACCCACCTTTGATTAATATGACCTGGATGACTGAGAATCTTCACACACAGTTTCTTTCAATGTTTTTTGGAAATAAATAATGGTATACTTATACCTTTAAAATTGCACACTAATATCAAGTTCTAACTGATTTCCAAGTCTTATTTAAATTGCTGATTTCTTATAGGCTCGGAAACGTCAGGTCTATCCTCAGAATGTTATTTCCTTAAAGGAGCACAGCGCCGTTTTTCCTACATTTATAAGACTGTACAGTATATTTCTGTTATTCTCAAAGCTCACAATACATTTTAGATATTTAACTACTTCCAGGCAGCCTGAACTAAAACTGCGCCTGTACTCTTGAGATAAATGAATCAGATCAGATTTACATAGATAATTTCAAGCGAGTTTCTGCATGTTGAATTTCACACTGTACTGAAATTAATTTTTATTGAAAACCAGTGGCTGCCTTGCCTGGAGGGTTGGAAAAATGCAAAAAAAGTAAAGTAAGTTATGCAGGGGTTTTATTTTAAATGGAGATAAAAAAACTGATATGACACTAGTGAGAATGATACAAGTAACAATAGCTAATAATTTACTGCATAAGTGATCACAGAGCCTTGTTAAAGCTGCATTAACTCGTGTTTCACCAGCTAGTTGCTAACTGTGTCTGTGTGGTGCTGGACAGACAGTGTGCAGTGGCTTTATTAGAGCTTTGAGAGGTATGCCAACTTCTCTAGTGTGTTTTACGTATATAAATGAGTATATGAGTATATAAAACTACTAAACCAACTAGTCAAGAGTCCTAATATCACTCTAAATGTGATTATTACTGTTATACATATAATACAATATATGAGATATAAGTAGTGCCCCCATGGTGACACAGAGTTGCCAGTTGTTTTTAGCCTTTAGTCTTCTGTGTATTTCTATTCATGTGATGGTTTATTAGTAATGTGTTTTTTTATATTATCCTGTGCCTCATGTTGCACTATCAAAGCAAGTTCCAAACAACAACATGTTAATTAACTCATTTTGAGCAAATATATTCTTTAGATGACTCACATTGGAGAGGCGTTGCAGCTCCCTGCACTCATCTTCACTGATCACCCCATCCAGCAGCACCCGCTCAGAGCCATTCAGCTGCTTGGACGTCATGGTCACCTTGAAGTCATTATACAACGGAGCGCCATCTAGAGAAGAAAGAGCACAGGATCAAGGAGAGTGAAAAGTTTGCCTGTCAAACACATAACTGTAGATTTCTCAGCTAAGTACTGTACTTATGTTAAGTGTTTGTGTAGTTTGGTTTACTTATGAATTAGCAAAGTCTAAACCATCATTTTACTAACATCTGGTTCACTAGTAATCTGGGTGAAATATTTACCCTCCTGCGGGACTATCATTGTGGCCAGCTCGGAAGAATCCTTCTTCTTCTCCTCAACCAGAGTCTCAATCTCCTTCATTAGGTTTCCTATTTCCTCTGTGATCCTCGCTGCCGTCTCTCTCTCGGCTCTGAGACACACAGGTAGGTAGAATGACAGAGGCCAAAACATCCCTTTGACAATAAACTGCTACAAACGTGTGTGTGGCTGCGTCTTTTATCTGATGTATGTATTTATATGTATACTTTTATATATTATTATTATTATTATTATTATTCCTTTTCTTATTCTCTCTTCTGTATTGTTTGACACTGTAAATGATGTACTCTGGACCTGGCTACATTATTTATTTTGGGGTCTTGTCGTAATTATATGAACGACACAATAATAAAAATGGATTAATTCACTCATTCAGTATTACTTCTGCTTGTCCCTCAGTTTCTTAGGCATGACATCTTCAGGAGTCCATGTGTCCTGAATACAAAGAGACAGTAAAGGCATCAAATACCAGGCTGCATGAAACCACTGCATCAAATAAGAAACGTGATGGGTAACAAATGATTTATTCACTCACTGGATCTACAAAGGTGATTCCGAAGGCTTCATATCCAAAGTAGAGCAGCTCTTTTTCCAGTATGGACTGCTGAATGTACAGTTTCACCACCTGGATGTCAAAAATGAATTGGACCTTGATTGCATCTCCTGAGTGCATCAGTCTGCAAAATAGCTCAATGAGATATATCCAGAAGATCCCATGTTCAATTACATGTTTAAGTGCAGAACACAGTGACATTAAATATACCCAGCAGAACACAGCACTCTTAAAACATAACGTGGTAAATGATCTGTTGTTGGCTGCTGACTTGTTGGATCTTAGCGCAGCTTTTGATACTGTGGACCACTGTATTCTGTTGGACAGGCTGAGAAATACTTCGGCATCTCTGACCAGGTGCTTAAGTGGTTGACATTCTACCCTTCAGAAAGATCTTAATGTGTGTTTTCTAATAACACATTTTCTGATTATTCCTCACTCCAGCATGGGGTTCCACAGGGTTCAGTCCTCTGTCCATTGTTGTTTTCGTCATACTTAGCGCCATTGGGTTAGATCATTCATTCTTTTGGGATGGCATGTCACTGCTATGCTGATGATTTACAAATATATATGCAAGTTAAAGCAGGAAATGCATCTGATCTCGTATTATGACAAGATCAGATTTTAGAGATTTTACTGTTTATATTTTAAAGCACTTTTTTGTAAAGCACTTTGATTGAAAACACTATAAATAAATGTGTTATTATTATTATTGGATTTGATTGGAACATAATGAAAAACTATAGGCTATGCTTGACCACTTTTTTTGTGGGGGAGTATAATGAAGAGACACACGATTAAAGTTTGTTACAAATTTAATAACAAACTGTATAAAGCCATCAAGTTCTTAAAAAACTCCAGCACAGAGAAAGAAACACAAATTAAATCGCAACCGTTTGTGGCCCCATCCACACTACTCCGTTTTCGTTTAAAAAAGAAGAATTAAAACGAATACGATCTCTGTCCACACCAGCATTTTATCTGTGTATCAGAGCTGATCTCAGTCTACATTAAAACAAATGAAAACGCACATCTAGTGGCCGTTCGGGTACACTGGGCATGTGTGTGCCAGTGTAAACATGAAGCAGATGGTGTACTCCGTCATTACAGAAGATTTGGCGAAAGAATAAAGCACAACAGATGAAGAACCGCACCAGATTTTATTTTGAATGGACCAATAACGAGCTGGGACTGAATGTAACACAGGAGTTAAAAGTGACTTAAAATAAAAAAAAAAAAAAATATATATATATATTAAAAAAAAGCGACTGTGGCGTCGGAAAACAAACTGGGAGTCTTCGCAAAGTAAATGGCGACATGCACGTTAACTTACAAGTGTAGGCAGATACTTGTTATTTGCACAGTACAGAATATTTTAATAAAAATACTAAATCAAAAACTCTGTCAGCATCATCGTGTTTCTACCCAATCAGAGAGCCAAAAGTGAGCGTCTGCGTCATCATTTCTAAAGTCCTCTGTTTTTGCCCGTCTTCACTAAAACGCTCTCTGGAGTTTCAAAACAAAAAATGGGGTCGGCAGCATTTTCAAACTTCTCCATTTTAGGTCTTCGTTTTCACCATTTTAGTCTGGACAGGAGGTGCAAACATAGCAAAAGGTCTCCGTTTTAAAACCAAAACGCCGTAGTGTGGATGGGGACGGAAAACGACAAGAGCTGCAGATCAGAGGAACGTGATTATTAACATGCTGTATTACCTGTTGTATTCAGCTGGTCCGTTTATTTTGGAGAGGACGAGACCGACTTTGGTTCCATGCAGAAACCTCCTGACTGATAAAAACTTAAAACAACTCTGGAAACAGTATTTAGCGTAACTCCATCAGCTTATAGCTATAAACACACCGCGGCACGCTGGCTGCTATTTCCAAGCTATATAATACCGACGTACAATCTCAGGCCGACATCGGCGAGACGTGTGTGCTATTTGACTGTTGATTGTGATTTATTGTGCAAACAACAGTGGACACGCTCGACTTACACAAACAGAGGACTTTAAAAACAATGACGCTCACATTTGGCTTTCTCAGTAACTCATGTTACTAATAACATTGATGAAGACTGTTTTTTTCAAAACTGAGCATGGGCTGGAAAGTGAGTTAAGTTGTGAAAGCCAGAAAAACTAAATAATGATTTAGTCATTACTATTGATCAGCATTCCAATTAATGCACTATAAATGTTGTATATGGACATTTAGAGCCTGGGGCAGTAAAAATCGTACTTATCTCTTCTTTAAAAAGGCTGCAATCGTTTACGTGCTTTAGCTTGCCATCTGTGCTTGTGTATGTCTCTTTTCAGTACATCTGAGTGCTAAAGGCTGTTTTATTCCCACCACATGCGGGCTGATTTTCTGCTGATCGTTCTGCATTAACATAATAGACTGCTAAAAATAACTGCACTCACAAGGTGCTTTGAACAAAAGCCTCTTCTAAATATAGCTTGAGGTAGAGGGACTGTACCTGTCTGGCTGATATGGTCCCTGCCTTGTCTTCACCCAGCACGGCAGAATAATAAGCCAGGTTCTGGTTCATCACCTCGTCGTCAGGGTGGAACAACAGGAAGGTCTTAGCACACTCTATGGCCTGTTCATACTTCTCACCTGGAGGGAGGGAACAGCAGCAGGAGGGTGAACAACTGGTGTGAGGTCTCTGTGTGTGAGCTGTTCTGAAGAATTACAATATTTTACGAGGATTCATATGATTATGGAGGTGCCATTTACTCTGTTGTTAAAGGGGCACAAAACTCGGGAGCGTAGACACCACAGACGCGGACTACTTCTGTCAGCTTGGTGGACTCCACACATGCGGAGTTGGTGCCCTTGTAGCGTAGTCGACCTGTCTGATCATAAAAACGGGAGGCACCTGGACGTCCGCACAGTGTCTGCGCATGCCCCCTCTGATGACGATTTTTTGTCAGGCGGACCCTAGTGTACTCGCAGACGCAGAAAGTGTAATCCTTGCTTTACTCATCATGTGGTGTCTTCTGTGGTTTTTGGATGAACTTTGTCCCATCTTGGTGTGGAGTTGGACAGACTTAGATGTTTACCAAGAGGGAAGGTTCTAATGAAGAGCTGCATTATGGAAAGGGAAGAAGGAAGTGTTTTTGGAGCTTGACTAGGGTCCCTTATCAAACCTTCTGTCCTTCCTTGTTGTTATTTATTAGCAACAGCTAGCTAGCTGCTTCTCATTTCTAACTGCCGCTACCTTTCAGTTTCACCAGTTTAAATGTTTAAAACAGATTATACCAGCTGTAGCTAATTAACATTCATTCCATAACTGCTAAAATGAAAGCTTTGGTTGTTGAATGGAGGATGTGCTCTCTGGTGTCTGCAGCCAGCCAAAGAGTCTCCACTCTGTAACGCCACTTCATGATCACTGCGGGATTGTGTCTTTTTATAGACCAACAGAGTGGTGACTCTTCTCTAGAGAAATGATCTCTTCCTGTTTCAGAAACTTTCACAGCAGTTCTACAACAGATCATTCCAGATTTGGTTCAAATAGCTTGTGAAAAATAAGGCTTAAAAGTCAGAAAGGTATTATTTGAATTTAACTTTAGTTACATAAGGGATTTGAAAAGATTCACATTCGATAAAATGCTATCCAGCCCAGACCCCTTGACCCATTCCATATAGGAAATGCAGTAGATCTCTGCCTCTGCTGCTTTAGTTTTACCTCTTCTGTTTTAATCTCCTCCATGTTTATGGAAGTACAATATTATTCACTGCAGTAACCCTTTAATAAAAAGGAATATACTAAAATTCTTAAGTTTTTTTTTAATATAATTTAATAACTGTGATGATTGAAGTCTGTAAAGGTTCTCAATCACCCAGGTCAGTTTTCCAAGGAAGATCAAAATCAAGGGTCCAGTTGTTCCTTGTGATCACTGAATATATTTTATAATGCACATTAACCAAGTCAGAAATGTTCTACACAAACCCATTTCCATTATTTTATATGGTCAATGGCTCCTAAGAGAAAATTGCCTTGCTAGTTGTGATGCCAGTTACCTTAACGTGGCTCACCTGTGTGTTTGCTATTTAAGAGGCATCTGTAGTGCACAGTTGTGACACTGATGAAGGCCCAGATGGCCATTATAAGGAAGCACACCAATTTGTCTGAGCACGGTGAAAGCTCTACAGGGAGGAACCTTCATCACATCTTGTTCTTCATAAAAGATCTGCCTCATAATATTCAACCAATATATCCAGCTATACGCATAATCAGTGTTGCTGTAAATATCTGGACATTCAGGGTTTCATTCATTGGATAAAGGCATGTACACTCAGTACAGGCTGGAAAAGAAAGGGCAGTGGGACTCACTGTTGTAGTAGGAGAACTGCAGGTAGTTGAAATGCGAGGGGAGGAAGTCCTCAAAGGGCTTGTTTCTGCCAGCAGTTGTGGCCAACTCTACGGAGCACTGCTGCTTACATTTCAGTACCTGCATGTAGTGGTCTGACATACACAAACACATTTACACAATGGTCACCAAATTCTCATCTTTCCTATCAATCAACTCTGTGCACAAAAACCAAAGGATGTGCTGTCTCACCCGTCATGGTCTGGAACAGGTCAGCGTTGTACTCCATGTAGTTGTATCCGTCATAGTCGTAGGCTCCCTCACACAGCACTCTGCATTCCTTATCGGCAGCGAAGTACTCATCTACGGCCACTTCGAAGTGTTCAGCCGCCAAGCCGAATGAGTCGTCGCTGTAATAGCTCTTCCCTAGCAGGAACTCGGCCTGAGGAGCGAGCATGTGGACATCCAACAATGTGGCTTATGGACACCATTACACGTGTAATATTACTAGTGCTCTTGTTTTTCAAGTTAAACAGGAGGCATAGTTTTAAGATGTTGAGTTCAAATTCTTCTACTTGACATGTTATTGACTGTAACAGCAGTAATCACAAAGTGCACAAAAGGTTCTTGGAACGACGTGTCAGGATTTCTTTTTATTCTTACTTTCCAACAAATGTCACTCTTCTTTTTACAGCCATCGTACCGCAGACCAAAAGATTTAGAAAGCTACTGGAAAACTTTAAAGTTGGCCATTTGCGGCAACCGCAGGCATGTGACGATGTAAACATTTTCTGCAGAGATTAAATCATGTGACAAAACAGATTTCTGAAATAAACAGAACCAAAAGTTGAGATGTGATCAAAATGAAAAAAGCCCCTCTAAAGACTGGCCTCTAGGCTACCAGGACTAAAATGCCATAAACCCCATCAGAGGAGGAGTTTGCCCTCACCATGTGTGTCCTGGCCTCCAAATCTTTGAAGTCCTCTTCCTGTACTCCTTCCATCATCCTGTAGTACTCCAGGTTCTGTTTCATCTCCATGTGATCTGGGTTGGCCAGGAAGAATGTGTTGGCAGCTGCCACCGCCTTGTCCAGCTTATTGATCTGGAAAAAAACCCACAGGACTTCAGCTCATCCTCTCTGACTGACAATTCACTGTTGCCCTGTGACGTTTCTGTTTCTGTGTGTCTGCCAAACAGGGTTCAGTTTATCCAGCCCTCTTCGTTAAAGGAGCAATAAATGATGTAGAAATGAAATGCTCCACCATGTTCACTAGCTATGCAAGTCGCTAACCTTGTTGCTAGCAGCTTGCTAGTTGCAGTTCGGTGCTGGGCAGCCAGCATAAACGACCTTTTGCTGAAAACAGCAGCTTCTGCAGCTGGACACAATCCTACAGAGGGATGGTGTGCACTTAACTGAAGTGACCTAACTTCATCAGTCCATGAAATGTGTATTCTACTGTAAGTTTAGGGAACCAGTCCCTTAACGGACTTCAAAATTATGAGTTTGGTTTCAAAGACCTAATGTTACAGAGGCATTAAGTAATGTGTAGGTTATATGGTCCTCTAACAGGAACTAACCGCTTATTTCATTACACACAAGCCTGTCTCTCCTTCACTGGCCTGTAATTAAAACAATAATGAAGTAGCACCTGCAGATCAGATCTGAGTTTTAAATGTCAGAAATCTGAGCAGCCAGCTTGATCACCAACTCTGTCTGTATACCTGACAATTTGTTGGTGTCATGCTTTTTTGCTTCGGAATTATTATAGAAATACACAGTTATTATATTTATTCCACTTCCAAACAGTTTAGTTAGATTCACATTCTGCGCCACCTTTTTTCATGCTGTGTTCAAGTTTTGTCTGAGAGTAGTATTTTCGATGCACACATAACAATCCAAGAAAAACAGTGGAATTGTTCCTCTGACAAAGACAATAAAATTGTACAACTGTCTATCTTGGCCAGTCTAACTCTACTCAAATGTGCCCACAGAGAATGACTGTGTTTGAGCTCAGCGTGTCTGCGTTCATCAGGAGTAGAAGCCTTTAAAGGTCTGCGCTTCCCACCGCTGGATCCCAAACACCGACGTCCTAACGTCAGGCTCCGCAGCTGACTCCACCCTGAGACGTGGCATGGCTGCCTTGGTTTTGGGGGGTTGGGGTATTTACAGCTCTGAGTTAAAGCCTGAATGAGATTCCAACTAAAGTGTGTTACAGTTGTTCACTCTGTTGTGGGTCTGCATGTTCAGTAAGAAGTTGCACCTGGACAAATCTCTGTGTGATGGGGGGCAGCACTGACTGCCTACTGTACTTAAGTTAGTTACCTTAAAATATGCAACTTGTAGGTAATTATACGGGGTCCTCTTGTTGAACTCCAGCTCCACGTCTGCAGTAACCTGGTGCATTGTTGGTGAACCCAGTTTCTCAGTTTCGCAGGAGTTCACGCAGTCCGCCCGCTTGAGGATTTTCTGGAAGAAGCCCAGGTCCTCCACAGACCCGGCCCCCGGTATGGGAACTCCCAAGCCGACCAGACGATCGCCGAAAGCGGTCTGATTGGCGCAGCTCAGCCGGCACTGAGCCTTCACGCTGCGGACCGTAGCTTTGTTCCTGAGCGCCTTCTCCATGTTCAGGATAACCGACAGCCAGTCCCCCTTATAGTAGGCTTCCACTGCCGCGTCGAAGAGGAAATCATAGGGCTCCAAAACGAAGTGACTGCTCAGATTAGTGTCCGAAGTGCACAGTGGGATAATAAGGCAGAACATCATTAGTGTATAACGGAGCTCCATGATGCTCAAATGTCAGAGGTCTGCTGCGGGGCCGGGGTCAACCGGAGCCTGGAGGAGCCGGGAGAGAGAGGAGGTGGAACTTCTTTCTCCGACACTAACTTGTCTGGAGGTGGGGTTTGAGGCGCCCCCCCCCATCCCCCATATACACATGTAGATATCATTATAATGTTATATAAATGCATATAGAACGGGGGCCTTAAATCTATGTAGGACTGACCTTAGAATACTGTCAGAGATCTGTATCAGCTCAACACCGAGTCTGGTGAACTAAACTACTCCAGGCGAAACCTTTGCTCATTATTCTCAACATAATCATCACTTCAGGCAGCCTTCAAGGCAAAGTATGGATTTGCCTTAATTAATGACAAAACGTACAGAGGATCATTAAACAAACTGACACCCAAAACTATTTGATCGATCAACATGAATAAATGATTTTAGTCCACAAGAGACTGGCTGTGAGCAAGTAGGGCTTCTTCACATATGTGCTCTCAGATGAGGACGTTTAAAACCCTCACACAGGCTATCAAACTCAAAATGACAGCAGAACCAACTGTTGGATTTCACAGGGAAACATAACAACATAAAGTGCTGGCCTGTTAGACCTGTCTGCTGGAAGTAACTTCAGGATACTTCCATGGCTTTCAGCTGTAAAAGATATGACTCAAACAACTTACATCTTATTATAAAGAATAAACCAATGCATAGCAAACAAACTTCACTGAAGCATTGTCTAACAAGAAGAGGAGGAGAATAGTTGAATATAGTAATAAAGTTTTTGCTATGATCACATATTTTATATATTAGTATAGTTAAACTTATTACACATTTTTTCACTGAGGGAAAATTGAGCGTTTGTATTTTCTCATGTGGCAGCAAAGGACACGTGACTATATTAATTAAACCATGGACTGTATAAAACAAGTAAACACCCTTATGTTTGTCCTGCACAAATGAAAAAGCAACAACTACACAAGGAAAACAGCCATCACTGAGCAGACGACACAGTCTCGGTCCAGTACTGGTCCAGTACTGGTCCAGTCCAGCCCAGCCGATGGTCCAGCCGTGTGAGGCCGTTTCTGTTTCACGGTTTGTCAGCGGTGACGAATCTCCTCTGGTTTAAATGCTCTGTGGCTGGGCTGCTCCTGACATGCCTGAAAAGAAATCCAAGTAATAATGACAATAAAATGCTGAATATGATCTAAGACTGTTGAAGAATTGAATAATACAAGTATTTAATGACATTGGGGGTGAAAGATACATGGTTAGTATATACGTTTGTAATGATAAACAAGCTCCAGCAAAATAATATTTTATTTTAAAATCAGGCACACAGCAGGAGTGCCGTTGTAGGACTCCGGGAAGCCTCCGGTATTTTGGTGAAGTATTCCGTGGTTACACCCCTGTTATGAAACCAGCAGGTGGACAGAGAGACCGAGTTTAATGTGTGAGAGAGGAGTCTGTGAAGTGAACATGGACAGCACGGTCAGCCTCCCCGACGGGCCCGGCAGAACCACCACTGGTAACAGAAAGTTTCTGAGCCGAGCCTCGTTATCTCTCTGTCCGTGCTCATGTAGTTTGTATTTGTCTTAGTGGAGCCCAGCGCGGTGTCTGAAACCAGTGTGGGACATTGAACCTGGCTGCTCAGCGGCTGCTAACGTTAAGACTGTAATCTGCATTTAGACGCAATGAAACGGTAGAATCCTGTTTACCCGAGCACCGCACTGCTCTGCCGGCATCTGTTTAATCATTTAGTTGCCATATGAAGAGTTTCATGTTAGGTGTATTATTACAGTCACTGAGTTCCATCATGTCATGTATGTATAATTATGTGTTCATATGTCATGGTATTTGTTGTATGTCAGTGATAGTTGTAGTCCCCTGCGGTGCTCCATGTACATGAGCTGTGATCATAAAGCTTGTGTTGTTGCAGTGACTCTGGTTGAGACCAGCAGCGCCCCCAGCGGCCTGGATCTGGTCAGTGCCTACCAGACCAACAGAGTGGGAGACCCCATGGACCTGGTGGCCCTGGCAGCACAAGTACAGAAGGTGTGGATTCATTAAATGAGTTCTACACAGCCGCAACACTTGATGCAGTCCTGAGCATGTCTTCACTTTGTTTTTAGGGCGATGATTTCATTAAAGCCAACGCTTGCAACAAACTGACAGTCATTGCTGACCAGATCAGATACCTACAGGAGCAGGCGAGAAAGGCAAGTACTCTTGTTTCTTGAATACGTGTGATCTGTTAAAACGAGACCATGTCCCAAAGTGGTCACTCTCGTGATGCAAGCAAAATCTCATTGGGTAATGCTCAGATCTGACCAATGACTGCATCCTGATGTTACTGTACAATAACAGCTGTTTTGAAAAGGGACCGTAAGAAAAAAGAGAGTCAAGAGTTATGTTGGGATCAGATATCAAGACATGCTGCCACTCCTGTACACGTATTTGTCTTCTCGCTTTGTAGGTTTTAGAAGAGGCTAAAAGAGATGCGGACCTCCACCATGCTGCCTGTAACATTGTGAAAAAACCAGGCAACATGTATTACCTCTACCAGCGGCCGTCTGGACAGAAGTACTTCTCTATCATCTCTCCTGAGGTTCGTATTATACTGATATTAAATTGTTCCGCAGCCTTTAATGTTACGTCACCCTGTAGGGACACGAAGTGTTACAAAATGTCAGAACAGCAGCTGTTACCTAACATCCCCTCAGGGAGATTCCCACACACATGATAACAACACGTGTAATGTTGAGAGTTGGAGGTGTTTGTTGTTCAAAGTTCACGTGACCCAGAGGGAAACCGACACAGGCAGCTTAGGTTGATTTGACTGGCTGCCGTTTTAACTGCGCCAGCCTGGCAGGTACAGATAATGTTTCTAGAGCTCATGGAATTTATGGAATGTCTGGGAATAAACAGGTCCTCATATTGTAATTATAGATTGTAACGTAGCAGAGAATAACTGGTTCACACATTTCCTGCACTAAGGTGACTTTTAGATGTTTCTGCAGAGCCAACTGCTTTTTAAACCTTTTGGGAACAAAAGTAGGGACACGACAACTGATTCTTTTCAGTATCAAATAATATATTTATTAATCTATTAATAATTCCATCATTTGTCATCAATTGTTAAATGACTCATTGATTATCAAATAGTTGCTGAATGAATTTCCTGCCTGGAGACCAATCAACCACAATATGTTTTAGGTCTTTTCACCTCTTAGTCTAAGACATCTCACCACAGCACACTTTGTCCTCTCCTCTGAAGGAATGGGGTCCAAGTTGCCCGCACCCGTTTATTGGCGCATTCAAGCTTCAACATGACATGTCCTGGACCCCCATAGAGGAGGTGGAGAAGAGGGACTCTGAGATCGCCATCATGGACAAGCTTCTCAGCCAGCAGACAGCCTTACCGCCTTACACAGGACCCAACTTCAAGGGTCTCTCCGAATGAAGGACTGGACTTTTAGCAGGACACATGGTGGACGCTAGTCTTCGTGGACATCAGTTTAAACAGACAGAAATCCATACATGGAAGGATTGTTAGATGGTCACAACCTTAGGGATGCTTTTCTAAAAAGCCTGTGTGCGAGGACACTTGCCAAATAAAGTTTTAACACTTTTGCCCATTAGTCTTTACCAAAGCTGTGTCACCCACATGCAGCGGGTTGTCTATGGAGATAGATTTGTGTCAGCGTGAGCAGAACAGTCCGTGTGTAAAACACCACAAATACAAACAAACAAAATATTTTTCAACTAAAAAATATCTGAATACATTCATTTACAAATAAAGCATTTGTGAATATCTTACTAACATTAACAACTTTCAGACAGACATTTGTGGATCCGGGTTTTGCTTGAGGATCGCTGTTCTACATGTGTGGAGCTGCATTTTAACAGTTTTGAGTTTCCACCAGTCCTAACAACAATCTACTTGTATCACTCATTTTCAGGTAGCACACCTGCTGATGCCATTTCCACATAGTAAAAGTATGTATTGTTATGAGTTTTATTTTTTAAATGAGCAAAGTAACATGCATTCCATATTTTATTACATTACAATAATTTATAATTTGTTATTTAGGTGACACTTTTACCAAAGCAACTTACAATTGCTAAATATGTCATACACCTCTGGAGGAACTAGGGACAACAAGTGTCTCGCTCAGGGACACATTGGTGGATGTGTCACTGTGTTTACAAATCTTTTTTGGATTTGTGGAAGGCGTTTAATATTTAGAGATTAAACATTTACACACAGACTGTTGATCCGCTGACACAAATAACAGAGATGGGTGAAGGGAAAATAAAGGTGAGCAGATCGTGAGTAAACACTAAAATAAGGTGATGCAGCTCTGTGTGCTACTCTGAGGGAGCCCTGAAACAGAGTCCATCAACTTCCTGTGTCAGAAGTAGGATTAAATGGTCAAATAAGAAACACACAATTTTACAAATGTTTAATTTCAGGTCAAGAAAATTAAAGTGCAATAACTTTATTTTAAATCATCTGTCTTCAGCAGTGTCATTTTAAGTATAATTAAAGTGCTGAGAAAAAATTGGGTGATTAAAAATCAGCTTTTGTTAAAATTAAAAACAAGCCAGAAAGTTTCCATCACAGTCGACTGTGAGCGTCTTTCTGTGAGGACGTGATCGTCTGTAGGTAAGAACTTATGTGAGGCAGAAGATGCCAGTTATCTGTGGCGATGTTGAAGTGCACGCCTTCCTCCTCAGAGCTGATCTGCAGCAGCATGTGAGACCGCGGCGGGAGGAAGAAAAGCACTTTGAACTTGTCCTTATCGGACAGATCTGACATAAGGTAGGGGAGGAAGTGTTTCTCCACCAAGGCAATCAGAGCTGCCTCCTTCAGCTGGCAGCAGAACAGGCTGGTCGCACAGTCTGCCAGGTCCTCGCCGCTCGCAGAGCTGATTTCATCCCATAAACCCTCAAACAAGCTCAGTTTGCTGCCTCGACCCCAGGCCGGGGGAGCAGGCGGAGGCATGAAGGCCTGCTGGAAAGACACGTGGATGTCTGGCAGGACAGTGAGCCAGGAAAGTCCGTCCTGGGTGGTGAAGATGGCGCTGGCACGGAGGGTGGTGGGGTATGGCCGCCTGGGCTTCAGTCTCAGCCTCAGCGTGGGCGACGGCCTCTCTCTGAACAGACACGGGACACTGATGTCGCGCAGTTCTTCATAGTGGTCGTCTGTGAGGTTGAAGTGGAGGTGGATGCTGAAGAGCTGATCAAAGCGGGAGTCACCAGCTTCAGTGTGAGTCAGCTGGTAGTTTAAGGCGATTTCTGAGGCAAAGCTGGGGTCCTCAAACTGAGCTCTGTAAGCTGCCAGTGCTGCGCTGGTCTCTCCTGGGCAGGTCTCCGTCTCGCTCCGGTTCGGGTCGCTGGCTTGATCAGTTTTTGCTTCTTCTCGTGGCTCTGACTCAATCAGCCTGAATATCGCTTTGTCCGTCTGGTGGATGGTTAGTACGCTTGTTAGCCCCTCGCTCTCAGCCATGATGCAGGACAGCGAGCGCTTCTTGACCTGACGCCCTCCCTCGGTCGAACCCTGTGCCAGCACCCCGGCCAGCTTCTCTCGGGACAGCGTGGTCAGGAGGGTGTAGTAGAGGCGGGCGTGGTCCTGGATGTCTGTTTCTCCGTAGTAGCAGGTGAGATGCTGCAGGATGTCAGCCAGAGGGATGAGCAGCGAGTCCAGGCTGGGGTGGACGAGGAAGCGGCGGCAAACCCCCAGCAAGCTGTTCCCCAGACGCCAGTCGCCGCTCATGCACAGAGAGGAGACTGACGGAGTGATGACCTTGGACAGGAAGCTAAGGGTGCTGTGCTGGGGGATTTCTCCTTCCTCTGCCACTCGAGCCAGCACCTTAAGGTGCCAGCTGAGATCTTGTGGGGTGAGCTGGGCGAGCGGGGCCTCGGTGATGACCCCCTGGAGGGCCTTTAGGAGCCCCACAGCCCAGCTGGACTCAGACAACTTGTCCTGGGTCTGGTTGGCCAGGTTGATGAGGTGTGGAGCCAGGTGGGTGTGGCGGAGGTAGAGCTTACACAGCTTCTCCGTCAGACTGTTAGAGTAGCGCTCCACGTGACAGAAGTAGAAGAGGAAGAGGAAGGCGGCTCTGAAGAAGGTTACATAAATCTCTCGGCCGCCGCCGTTTTCCACAATGTGTAGCAGCGAGGTGACGTGTTCATAGAGGTAGGCCAGCCCCCTACTCCCCTCCGCCTCCCCCTCTCCTTCCTCTCCCTCCTCCAGGTAGACCAGAGACAGCAGGTTGAGGCGGGCCAGCATGGTGGCGCTGTCATTGAACACGGTGGGCACTAGAGCCGAGGCCAGCCGCGGAGTCAGCAGCACAGGGAGGGTCTCGTCACCGTCGCCGCACCCGATTGGCCGGTTCTCGGGAAAGTGCAGGATACAGGCCATGTAGAACAGCTTCTCGGGTGTACTCAGCAGCGGGTGCTGGGAGAGCACCACCAGCCGCTTGAGGATGAACGCTTCGTCTTCGGCGCTGAACAGGCTGTCTGTGAACGCACACTTCATCAGCAGGGTGGTGTGAAGGAGGCACACCTGCAAAGGTGAGCCAAGATTTACTGAGAGTCATGACTTCTCACCATGAACCCACACAGGGTAACTTACAGCTCTGTGGAATAAAAATATTTGTTTGAAAATATGAAATAATCCCAAATGAAAGCTGGTGCGGTAAATGTGCTGCTTACTGCCACAGTGTCCTACTCTCCACAGTGTCCTACTCTCCTACTCTGGAGAAAGCAGCTAGCTAAGCTCAGTTAGCTTAGCATAAAAACAGCAAGCCTGGCTCCGTCCGAAGACGGAAAATCTGCCTAAAAGCACCTCTAAAGATCCTAAATGAACACGTTACATCTCATTTGCATAATCAGCATACAGACATGAGTGATATCAATCTTCCCATCCAACTGTCAGCAAGAACACAAATCATTTTAAATTTGAGACATCAATCTTATTCCATTTCTACACAAACCTCGCTCGTGCCCAGCAGTCGCAGCAGCTGAGCTCTGAATACGGCTGGAGGGACACCAGGAACCATCGCAACCACCTCCGTCAGTCTGTGCAGCAGTGCAGCCTGACACAGAGGTGTTAGGAGGTAGGAGTCCTCAAGGAGGGAGGACAGGACTGAGCGCAACTCCTTACAGTCAGGCCCGGTCTGCAGGGTTGGCACAGTACCCATGGGTCCCAGGATAAGAGAAGACAGTATGGCTGAGTCTGCGTTATTCATCAGGTCTGAGTCATGCTCTGCTTCCCAAGCAACTGATGTATTTCCTCCCAGAAGAGCCTTAAGATGCTCAGCCCCAGCTCCGGTTTCCTGGGTGAGCTGATACACCGCGTTTCTTAACACCAGAGTATGGAGTCCTGCATAGGCCTGGTGGAGCCGGGAGGTTTCTCGCTGCCGGAGCCCACCTAAGAGCTCGAGGCGCTGGGAGAGAAGGCCTGGGGAGCAGGCCTCCAGCTCCCGCAGGCAGTCACAAGCCGTGGCCCGTAAAGAACAAAGAGCGCCATCAGCCTGTAGGTCACCGGTGTCCTGGGCTATCTGAAGGAGCAGGTCCAGGAAGTCCTGAGATGCACGGGAACGGCTGCTCACACAGGAAGTGCAGACCAGCACAGAGGTGAGGGCCAGGAGGAGGTGACAACGAAACTGCACAGACTTGGTAGGACACTGGGCGAACACTGACATGAGCTCCAGGCTTGTCTCCTCTCCCACTGTGTGTAGGGGACACAGCAGAGCCGGGTTCTCACATAGGGGGGACAACAGGAGGACCTGAGGTGGGTGAAATGTAACAATTGTTAGTGTTCACTGTGAACACTAAAGACACAGAAAAATACAAATAAAACAATGAATGTGTGCTGAACTGAAGAAGTCAGAAGTGGACGAGGGACGAAACGTCTTCCAGTATCTTCAACCAAGTCCAGTTGCTCTTGACTTTAACCTTCGTTGGATAACTATGTCCTGGATGACTGAGAATCTTCATAGACATGTGTTACTACTGTCAATTATTCAATTTACAGTCTATATAAAATATAGTACTTGTATATTTTTTTAAATAATGAAACATTCCCCTATAGATTACCCAAAGCCCACGTCGACATCTTCAAATTGTTTATTTTGTCCGACCAATAGCCCCAAACCAAAAGACGTTCAGTTTACAAGCATAAAAGAGTAAAAGACCATCCTTTATTTACATTTGGAAACAGGAACCGGGTGAATTCTGCGATTGTGTCGATTAGTGAATCGATTCAGCTCATAACAGCCCCTGTCCTGGCGTGTAGACATATTTAAACCCCGTGACTGCGTTAAGAGTGCAGCATGCCAAACTCCATTACAAAATCTGGCAATTTAGTATTGGCAGCTGTTTACACGTTGGTGAATGTGACATTACACATAAAGCAAGACTCTTAACTGTCACACTTAAAGATGTGTTCCTCATATCTATTTATCGATGCTGGTGTCTCTCTCTACAGGATAAAAACATCAACGTTTAACTAGAGTAACTGTTGTTACAACACCTTAAATCAAGGTATAGTAACGGTATTTCGTACCGGATGTGTTTGTGTTTGATGTATGAAGCACGGCAGAGATGACATGTTGTAGCTGTACAGCTTGTTGTTGTACCTTGACACTGTAAGTGGCTCTGTCGTCTCGCAGCTCGCGGAGCAGCTCAGTCAGGAAAGCCTCCGCCGTCGTCCCGGAGAGGAAGCGAGACGGGCTGCGGGAGAAAGCACAGATCCTCTCGGCCCACTTCACCGCCATTCTGGCTCAAATCCTAAACCTCGGCGACGTGCTGATCATCGGCTCGGTGACTCTTTCCAAAGTCATGGCACACAGTAAAAGTTCGCTTAGAACTGAAACACAAATTCCTCCTGAGAGACACCCACAGACTGGATGACAAACACGCAGGGGCAGTTCCGTGTTGTGTCACGTGCGCACGTAAAACTCGCAGTGTTATCGCCCCCTGCTGCTTCGGAGTGTGGACCCGGAATATCTTCTTCAATCCATCCACATAACTAAACTATTTCTAAAGTATCTTGGAGATAAATTAAGACCACCGTACTTGTGTGTTTATGCAAGAGCTCATCTCATTTATCGCGAGACTGTCTGTGCTGCAGAGGGAAAGATTTATCTGCTTTTGTAACACCCAAAAATTCTAACTAATGTAAAAGAAGAAATGTGTTTCTTGGTTTCTTCTACCTGATTAATTGTACTATTGATGGCCACGTTTTTATTCCTAAGTTGAACTACTAAACAAACCCATTTAATTAACCTGCTATATTTCTGTTATTGCCTCGTGTGTGCAGTCAAGCTGCTGTGTCTTTTGGTTTATTTAAGCTGTGCCTAAGATTTGTGTTGCCTGAATCTGAAAATCAACAAAGCTCAGACAAATAGGGACTTTTTATGTGGCAGGGCAATAGAGGTCAGGGTGCGCACAGAATTTTCAAGACTCCATAAAGCTGAAAATGGTACTCCACAAGGCAGTATGTGTAATCCAGTACTTTTATTGTAAAAGTAAAGTTTTGGGAAGTCCTTGTATGCGGATGACGGGGCTCTATGGATAAGACGATGGAATTTGAAATTTATTCAGAAGAAATTACAGGCAGCAATTGTGGAGGTGGAACAGTGGGCAAATAACTGCCGTTTTAAGGTGTCAGTTACAACGACACAAGTGATATTTTTTCCAGTAGACATAAAGAAGAGCCCTTAAAATGATATGACCAAACCGTCGAACAAGTCAAAGCTGTCAGACTTTTAGGAGTGTTGTTTGATGAAAACTTGACCTGGAAACAGCGATCTGGTGTTTAGTATCCATGTATCAGAAGGGACTGACCGTCTGCTTTGTTTGGGTTCCTGCCCATGTAGGGGTAGAGGGAAAAGAAGACGCTGACATTCAGGCAAAACAAGCACTCAAATCAAAGTCAGTTGACATGCAAGTTCAACTGAAGGTAAAACTGTCATTAAAGAGCAAATGTGAAAAAATAAGGCAAGAATACTGGGAACTAAATGAAACTGGAAGACATCTTTACAGTATCCAGAATCATGTTGGTCTGGGAAGAAAGCTGGAACACAGAGACAGTCATTCCCCGGCTAAGGATAGGACACACAGGGCTTAACCAATTACTTCTTAAATAGGTAAACACCCAACTGGACATTGTGCAAAATGTAATAGTTTACAATTCAACATGTGCTGGTTGAGTGTAGGGGCTATGTGGAGGCCAGGAGTAAAATAGCAACAGTTGTAGAGAAAGCTAAGCTTAGAACCTCCTTGGGGATAAAGCATGGGGAATATCTAAGCATCAAATATCTGAAGGATACGGGTTTAATTGAGAGGATATAGGTTTTCATTTTTTGTTTTGTTTCGTTTTTTAATTGGTTTTGTTTGTTTATTTGATTTCAAGAATGTTAGTCGGCAAATCATCTGTTCAACACTCCAGTCCGGGAGGTGGCGGTAATGCTCCTAACACTGGTTGCCAACCACCAATCAAATCAAAAGAAGAAGAAGAAATTGACCAATCAGATGCGCCGTCTGGAAATCAACAAGGAAGTCGTTTTAAGGCGCCAATTTTGAGTCGCCATTGACGTTGAAATCGTTTTTCTGTGATTAGTCTGTACAAAAACTGCGACAATGACTGAAAACACATTCCCTGTTTATACTGCGGATGCGATAGTAAACTTTTACCGAACAGAAGTTCTCACCGGTCAAGAGGCGAAACACTTAACCAGGAGCGACCTGGCTCCTGCTCCCAAGGTAACGTTACGGTCTGTCCCGGGTTTCTAGTGTCTGCTCACAGAATCTTAATCTTTAATAACAACCACTTAATGAGTACGGTTGGAAGGTTCGTCAGAAAGTAGTAAAAGTACATGATGGAGCTGACCGCTAATTTGATGCGAGAGCCTGAAACGAGGAGGAACTTATTTCCAGACGTGTACCATGACGTGGTGGAGAGACGAGCTGTGCCAAACTCCATTCAAAAATCTGATGGTTTAACGTTTTGCTTACCAGCACAAACAAATATCTGTAACGTTGAGAGATTTAATACATTTTACAGGTGAATGAGACCAGCTAAAAGATCAAACTTTTATTAAGTCTGTTACAGTACGAATTCGTTGGCTCACTTTTGACAACAAATTCATAATTTTCAATTCTTGAAAGCACAATAAGTTAGGCAATGGCCTAAAAACAAATGTTTCACATTTAATCAAAATAAATCGTAAAAAAATATAGTAAATCCATAATGAAATGCTGGAAAGCATAAAACAGTGAAGCCCAATCACGAACGTTACAGTAACTGTAAACAAAAGGAGAGACAGGTGTTGCAGTTGTGAGGTTAACTTGACAATGTTGGTAAAATATGATGTAATATATTAGTAATAAGCATTTAAAGGTGTCTGTATTCTGGAGCCTGTGACTTTATGTATTGCACTTTGTACGGCAGCATGTTGTGTTGTGAAAGCCAGTTTATCCATTCTGATTGTGTTGTGAAAACTGAGCAATCATAAAATACTGTAACAAAACATGCACATATTGTATGTACCTTGAAAGTCTTCTCCTCACCAGGACAAAGTTTGTCCTAAAATTTCTGTGGGAATTTGGAATATACCCACTTAATGTGACTAACTCAGATAGAGCAACCGCACTTAGTGGATTAACAGATCAGGCAATCGACAGAATTAATTGGCAACCATTTCTAGAATAGATTTGATCATTTTGGTTATATCTGATTCATTATATTTCTCTTTAAAATGTCAGAAAATGGTGAAAGGTGTCAGCTATAATTTGCCAAAACTCAAGATTATGTATTGAAATGCTCCCAATTGATTTAGTTTACAATACACATCTAACAAAGAAAAGCAGCACATCATCACATTTAAAAGGCTTAAAGCAGCAAATGTCTCCAGAAAGTCATCGGCACATTAATTAATAATGAAAGTAATTGTTGGATACAGCCCTAAAATAATTCAGACTGCTGCTTTTCCATAAAACAAGGACTGTGGATTTTATCTCCCATCTCAAGGGGTAATGACACAGCCAGCAGAAGGAATGAAGAACTATCAAAAACTCACTGTCAGTGTCCATGTGGGCATGTGAGAAAAAAACTGTCCTTTGATTTGATTTCCACCCCTGCACTGCGGTGCACCTGCTGTGTGTGCAGGGTACCCGCAGGCTCTTAAAAGTATTAAAGTCTTAAATTTCATATTCCGAAAATAAGGCCTTAAAAGTTTTTAATTGAACTTTGAGAATCCTGGGTGTACCCTGTGTGTGAGTACTCCCCTGAGATGGGGCGAAGGGTCGACACTCAAGACGTAACTACGAGTTAGTTTGTAACTCAATCTGCTACTAAAATTGGTTGCACTGCAATAACTTGGGGCAGAATGTCACTAGTTTGAATGTAAAGTCCTAACTAAGCCAAGTGGCCAGTCATAAGAGCTGGGGCTGCAGGGGAATTGGGGCTGTGGGAACCAGCTGTACATTCTGCTAGCTAGGCAAGAAACTGGACCACATAACCTGTAGTGGAGTTGTTGTTTCACCGCTCTATGGTCATTAACGTAGCGTTCCCTTATTCCATCTTACAGCCAGAGACCGTTCAAACGCTGTACATGAGGGTGTTGCATCTCCTGTATCGCTTCAGACCAGAGTGTCACTCCATGGTGAGTACTGACCGGAAACCTTACCGTGTCTGCATCCCAGCCTGCTTAAGTGTTCATCAAGGAGGTCTGGATTTCACTGCAGAGTTACGCTGAGCAGGCTCATGGACGCTGTTTTGTTTGGTGTTATAATGTTGCTTTATACACAACACGTGATCTTTATGTAGGGACTGGTGTGGTGGTATCTGTCAGTCATCACCATACACCTGGTTGCTCTACTGAAGAGCTTGATTTTTCTTTTTGTTCTTGCCACAGGTTCCACTTTTGGAGAACATTCAGTATCCGGTAAATCACGAGGGGGCTACTGCTATCATGAGCGTCTACATGCGCATGTGAGTGTGCCTGCTTTTCTCTGCTGGATTAACACAATATTTACCAACCACCACAGAAGATGTATGATGTATCTCTTTTTCTTAGTTCAGTAGTTTAGTTAGTGAAAGGCTACACTTTGGAACTGGGTTTCAGCATGATCGTATGCAAGGCGTGTATTTGTCCATCTACAGTAGACATATTTTTAACAACACCGTGTGATGTTTTTCAGGAGGCAGTTTCTGCCTATGTGCTTTGTGTACGATTTTTCACTGAACGACCTTCTAGCTCCAAGTGAGTATCTGTTTTTCTAAAACTGTATCACATATTTCCACATCTGACATTTGACAACTAGATGTCAGATAACCCCGGCTAACCGCCTGGTTCTTCCTTTCCAGAAAAACAGAGGACTCTGAGTGTTCTGAGTGCCATCATGAACTTTCTTTACTTCAGGAAGCAGCGGATGGAGATGGTGTTGGAGAAGCAGGCCAAATTTGTATGTAAAATTGGCCCACACAAGGGGGGGCGTATCCTGGAAACAGTTTTAATGAGGTTTCTAAAAATGAATTAAAAAAGACGACGTTAGGACATTTAATGCAGAGAAATCTCTTGACTGTACATCTTGCTCTTGATAATGTTCAAATCTTGATTTTTATACTTAATTTAATACTGTTGGCACCTTGTGTCATAAGAACTTTTTTTTATAAACCACAAGCTCGCTTTTTCTGACTGCTGTCCTGGTATTGTGTGTCTTGGAGTCGTACATGTGACAGTTCCTGTCTCTGTTGTCAGAGGGCAGACATGGACAGGCTGCAGGCGTACTCCAAAGGCATTTTAGAAGCAGAGAAGAAGATTGAGATGCTGACGTAAGTGTTGGGTTAAATGTGTGGGGGGGGTTTTGTTGTGGTCAGTGACATTTTATATCATCATTATCATATGTCATTTTAAATGTAATAAACAATGTTTTTACTTTTTAGACATTTTATAGATTAAACCGTGAATTATGTAATCAAATACACCATGGACAGATTAATGATTTATTTACACTGAATAACTGAATGGTCTATTTTGTGATCAAAACAAATTTTATGTCCAGATTACAAACTAATTATTTCATCAGTAGTCATGTTTTCAGAAATGAGAACACGATGAGATGCTTCGACATAAAAGACCAAAGCTGCTCTTTGTGTGGTGTGCTTGTTCAGGACCATCCCACCAGAGCAGCAGGCTGAGGCCGACGAGCTGGCGGCCGCTCTCTCTGAACTACAGGCCACCACTGTGCACGAATACCAGGAAGTGGTAGGTGGCGGAGAAACAGCCAATATAATGAAACCTGTTGTCGTCGTGTGCTCTTCAGTGAGATCAATGTGTCTCCTTTCAGAATGCTATAAACGAAACCATCGCAGAGTGGAAAGCCAAAATTGCAGAGAAGACCCAGAAACTGGTATGTGACTGAATATTTTAAAACCAGCCTGGTACGTCTTTGGGATCAGTATTATGTGGTACTTTGGTCTGACGTCACAAACGACCTCAGAAAGCGGAAGCTATGTTGCAGACAGCAGGAGTTGAGGGGTGTGTGTGTGTGTGTGTGTGTGTGTGTGTGTGTGTCAGGCCCAGGTGAAGGTGGACGTCAGCAACCTGAAGGAAGATGTCGGCAAACTCAAGTCTCAGATTGTGGAGTCTCCAGAGGAGCTGAAGACTCAGATGGAGAGGATGAGGGAGAACGTCAAGAACATCAAGCACTCTATCGTGAGTAGCAGAGCAAACAGGGCTGCCTCCAAATGCCAGATCCAGTTCCTTGTTCCCCCGTGTGAAACGTTTTGATGGCACTGATTTCAGGAAGAAACAGATGAGCGTGTGGTGGAGCTGCAGAACATGGTGCAGAGTGTGACTCAAACTGAGGCTGAGATCCAGCAGATGTACCACCTGCTGCAGGACCTGGAGAGCAGCATGAATAACACCAAGCAGCGACAGGAGGAGGTATGAGCCGGAAACAAGTGCTCTGTATTCAGATCTGTCCTTCAACAAGCCCAGATCAATATCCCTATCAATCCATCACATATCATATGCTGTGTGGTATGAAGCAGTAAAAAAAACCAAAAAAAACCCACTCCCCTTTTTGACGGTCAGAATAAATAACATAATGCAGAGCCAGTTATACACTCCGATCTCCATATGATCCATGTGCTAACCGGTCACTGTGTTTCATCACTAAATAAAAAATGACCAGCAAAACCCAGCATTCTGCAGGTGGTGCATGTTGGGTAATCTGTGGGCTCCTTTCTTTACAGCTTGTCATTGTGTAATTATACACCTTTTTATATTGTGTGTGTGTGTGTGTGTGTGCAGCACCATGAGCTGATGGTTCAGTATGAGAAGAAGCACAAAGAACTGAAGAACCTGTGCAGTGAGGAAGGCCAGCTGAAGCGAACTCTGGGCATGAAGCTGGACAAAGTGTCCAAACAGAACATCCGCAGGCAGAAGAAGAAGGAGATGAAGGAGCAGCATGTTCAAGAAGTGTTGGGGTATTTAATGCCATGCAGCATGATGCACTACTGCTCATTTCTACATGATCGTGGAATTTCCATAGTTCTGAATGTGAAATAGAAAGACTTTAGAAACCAACATTGATCTGTTTTCCAGGCAGTGTAACCAAATCTATCAGAAGCGCGAGGACATGGCTGACAAAATCCAAGAGATCTCCAGAGAGACGCAGCAGCTGAAGGCCAAGATCCAGAGCCTGAGGGACGTCTGCAGCAAAGAGACGGAGAAGGCTCAGGTACCGGTCTGCCTCACTGCCCATGCCTCTTATTGTTTCATACATGGTTTGAGACTAACACGTTTCACTTCACCGTGCCAGGCCCTGTATGACACCCTGTCCATGTCGATTGATGAGCTGCACAAGAGGGTCGACGCACACGTTGAGGACATGAAACATGACGTCGCCAAGATGTCAGCAGTCTTTTAAATACATTTGGTGTCTTTTATCATTTTACTCCATGGTATTTCTTCTGTTCTGTGTTTTTTACTCTTCTAACTTTCTGTTCTCTTTTTTTTTTGACCCACTACTATTTAAATGTTTAAAACAGAGTTGTATATTAATGACCGTGCTGCCGTCTTGGATAATAAATCTGATCAGTCCAGACTGTGTGGCTCGGAGGCTTCCATGTTGAACAGCGATGCACGAGTGTGGCTCAGATTGCACATCAGAAGTTTTGTACATTTGTTCTGTGATTAGCCATGACTGGACCTTTCTAAAACTGCAGTAGTCTGGTACGGTAAAACTATTAAATGGTAAAGAATGTCATGATTTTCTGTGCTGATAAAACTGCTGGAGGGCCAGCTAATGCTTAAAGGGGCTGTAGCACCCCTCAGAGCATATTTTAGTTATTGTCCACATGTCTGATGAAAAGACCAACCCTGTGTTAGTCCATCTCTCTGTACTTTCTAACATCCCTACCCACTGCCTACTGAAGACACATCTTTTTAAATGGGTCAAAAATATCCATTCTACTTTCCCTTCCACATCCCCAGACATGTAGCCCATCCACCGCAGATCACTTCAACGTTATGCACTGTCGCTCATTTTGCTTCCTTTCATTTCTGAAATCTCAAGATTATGAAAATCAAGAGACTCTGTAGTCTTGTAATCCATCGCTGTGAACATAGGTCTACTTTCATTTTGTCCAACTGATGTAACTGTTTAAAGGTGGTGCAGTTTAGACTCTTCAATCTTCTAGGCTATAAAAGTGATTACAGATGTGCAGTCTGCTGTCATGGATTAGACAGTGTAAGCAAGCTTCAAGGGTTTCTAATGGACATACTGAGCAGAAATGAATGGAAGCAAGTGGTTGACTAGAACAGTAGGATGAACACGTCCAAATATCTAAAGCTCTATAGCGTATATTCAAAATGGAAAAGTATGTGGAATTTGTAGTTAAAGGGTTAATCCCAAATGGTGACAACAAAGATTCAAATGTTCATATTGACTTTAGCTGGGTCTGTTTCCAGTGAGTCCAGTGACATGACACGACTCGCAGGTGGGGGTCATGTCAGGTGTGCTTGGAGAATAAATACACACTCCAAAGGCAAGAACAATGGTTTTAATACAAATATATGTAATACCATCTTTATAATGTCTTCATGGTAAATATGTGGTAAAGTACAGAGTTTGATTCTTGTTCAAAAGGAAACCTTCAAAATCATCCCAGAAAGAGTTTATTATATTGAAGACAAACTAGTATTGTAGATAAATTCACAGCACCTGTCTGTGCTGGTGAATACGTTCATCAATGCAGGAAAACAAGTGAAAAAATGCTGCGTGGTACAAAACGTGTGTGATGATGGCTGGAGTGTCCCTCGCTGCAGGGCAAACACGGCTCCTGGTCGAGGAGGCGGTGGCTCTCTGATTTGAATTTAGTCGTGCGTTTTGTGAATCCTTAGCGGACGTCTTCATGTTTGGGCTCCTTCCTCTGAGTTAGGACGTGACTTGTTGGACTTCTTGAAAGAGGCCAGCTGAGCTTTGTAATCTTTGACCTGAGTTCTCACCAAACGCAGCTCTTTACGCAGTTCATTGATTTCAGTGATCAGAGTCACGTTCTCCTGCAGAGCAGACGACAACTGTGCTCAGACTTACTTCACAGGAGGAAGAAACACTGAATGCCATGAGCAGTAGACTTGTTTCAATAATCTTAAGGAAGCTAAGACTCAGAGGAACTGTCTGCAGTGTTTCTTTATCTTACCTTCATGATCTTGACGTAGACTCTCTCATGCTCCTCGGCAGATTTGGCCAGCCTCGACTTGAGACTGTTAACAGTCCTCTCCAGGTGGTCACGCTGGCGACAGAACGCCCTCTGAATATCTTCGTCTACGCTGCTTTTCTCCACCTTGGAAACAGCACACCCACGGTTCACATGCTCCCTGCATTCCTTACACTGTATGTAAACTGTATGTTGTGTGAGTAGAGCATTACCCCTTGTTGAACATTACTGATGCCACAAAGTCTGAGCTGAGCATCCAGTCAGCTCAGAGGGATCTACGACACTATGTGAACTACTCACCCCATCGGTCTGCGGCACATAGCGAGCGTAGATCATCTGCACGCTGTCCTTCAGTTTCCTTGGCTCCTGGATGAAGCCAACACAGTTGTGGAGGTCTGACTTGAGCCGCTGAAGGTGTGTCTCCAAATCTTTCCCCTGACCACAGAGAAGATGACAGAGGTGTCGCATTTTTTCAAGTCTTCTGCCCTCATGCACATTAAAAGGGCTTTTGGTTGCTATAATTGTTCCTGCCGTCTGTACTGGCAACAAAGACATTTCAGTTTTGTGCATAAATACATTCTGAAGTTAAGTTAAATCTAATATGATGCTTGTCCCCCATTACTAAGAAGGAATTTCTTTGTTGAACAGGATGAACAGGAGGACTGACTACAGCGAGTGACCAAGGACCCTTTTAATGTACATAAGGGCATGTCAGTATTGTCTGTGAATCCAGGTCAGAGTTATCCAACGAAGGCTGAGGTCAAGGGCAACTGGACTTGGTTGAAGATACTAGAAGTACTTTGTTAGAAGTCGTTACCACAGCCAGGAGCACTAACGAACCAGCGGTATCGACCATCCTAGAGGGTAAATAGCTGGGTTTCCCTACCAGTCAGTCAGAACTGAAGAAGTCTCTTGGATGAGGGACGAAACGTCTTCTAGTATCTTCTTTTAGTTGATTTGGTTATTGTGCAGGACCACTGACTGACATGGCTTACTGGGACACTTAATGGAATAGCACCATCGTTAATGTTATTATTTACGCCTGTGTGTTTCCTGCTTTGTCATGTCTGTATAACAGGAGTTGTAACAGAACTGCAAAGTGCCACAGAGCAGCAGTGAGAGTTAAATTAAACACCTAGGGCCAGATTTACTAAAGGTTTGTGTGAGTAAAAACGTGTGCAAACTTGATATCACCAGCAAATTAGCACGTAAGCTGATGTACTAACGGTGTGCACAGAATGACGTCTTTCAAAAGTGCAAGATAGCACCTGTTGTTCATTTAGTACTTTTGCCTTAATGAATATGCAATTTGGGGCATTTTAATTTTATTGTGAAAAGTAATGGATAGTTATTATTTACTACACGCAATGTGATCTAACAAGCATAAACGCAATTTAGCGTGAGTGCAACAGCATCTGTATTTAATACGGTTGAAAGGAAGGTGCAAACCACCAAGTGTGCAGAGATGGCTGCTGTTATTGTTGGAGAAGGAGACACAGCCGTAATGAAAGAAGACGCAGAGAAATGAACAGTATTAGATAATATTATTCTATATCCAATATATGGGGGGAAAAAAATATTTTATTTATTTGCTGAACTGTATGAATTGAATTGTTCTTTTGTATTTGCCTTGAAGCATTAACATTCATTAGCATGAATGTTAATACTGTTGTATTAACATTCATGCCAATAAAACAAATTTGAATTAAACTGAATTGAGAAATGTTTTTTCCATTCGTGTCAATATTTTTAGCATGACTGAGGAACATATTTCGCCTCTCCAGCCATGCCCTACTGGAGCTGTTGACTGACCTAAGGGCTGACTTGGAGCCAATTATAAGGAGTCGCGCAAAACCTGCCATGCCCAAACTTCTCGTAACTGCATTTCCTCGTGTGGGTCATTCCAGCATACTGTATCTGTTTCTGCTGGGGTTTCCCAGAGCAGTTTTTCAGGTGTGCTGTTCCAAGTGCTTAGTGCAATCTTAAGCAGCATAGGCAGGTACAGACGATTTCCACATACTCGGGACACACTGAACGAAACAACTCAAGGTTTTTACGCAGTGGCTGCTTTCCCTCCAACTCTCCCTGCCAAGAAACCATTAAAACACGCAAAACCCTCGTTTAAATACTGCCACCTCCGTCGTGTTTGCACTTGTTGTCATCTACACAATAATTCTCAGTTAATCACCCATAACTGCTACCACAATTGCACATGCAATATTTTAGAATCCACACGCAATTTAGTCCTCTTTATTCAGGGTGTTAGTAAATCCAGCTCCTAGTTTACTACGTCACATCTGCCTTCAAACTCTATGAGAGGCTCCAGTCAACATTTGACAATATCAAATAACTATTTGATCAAAACGTCTTAAAGCTGGTATAGTAGCATGTACAGCATGTGTAGCATTATGTAATCATAACAGGTTGCTTCAGTATGGAGTCTTAGCTATGCGCTCACTCTCTGCATCTCCTTCTGCATCTCCTTGTCTCTGGTCCTCAGTTTGAGCCTCAGGTCAGAGATGGTGAGCTTCAGCTGAGTGTTGCTCTTGTCGATTTGCAGCAGCTCCTCCTCCAGCTGTCAAAAGGCACAAACAGCACATCACTGTCAACACTGTCAGACAAAAATGTCTCCCAGGAAGGGTCCTCTTGGCATATAGTACTCACATAGACTCACTATGACTCCAATATCTGCTAATGCAGGGCTATCAGGTTTGCACACTGATACCAGGTCCACTTTATTTCAACATGTGTCATTGTTCTGTTTCATTTACCTGCATTTTACCTTGGTTCTGAAAAGTGCTATACAAATAAAGTTATGATTATTATTTTTAAAACACCACATGACATAAAACAATATCAAAAGAGAAAATGACTTCTTCAAATGGACACTAATCACTAATTTAAGATGTCGTTGTTTAGTGTTTATTGTTTTAGTGAAACCAAAGAGTTCGAGCTATGAAAAGTGCAATATGACAACTTCTGTTATGAATTGGAGCTATAAAAAATGAAATTGAAATTAATTACTGTAGAAAAGCTTTTCCATCATCCACACACACACACACACACACACACACCTGATGGATCCGCTCCTTCTTCTCATTGATGTCATCTTGCTGAGGCTCAGTCTGTTTCTTCAGCTCATTTAACTGGAAATCAAGAACAAACTTCAACTTCTCCAGTTCCTGGCTCTTCTTCTTCAAGCTGGAGATGGTCTTATCCTGTAGGTGTGCAGGGAATTTAGTATGTTTGTTCTATGTTTTTATGATTAACAATATCTAATCGTGCCCTGAGTCTGCAGCGGGACATAATCTCCAGACTGAGAGCATCATTTTTCAAAGAGGTTAAGGAGGACCTAGAGGTTTTGCTGTTTATGTCCCCACAGACCCCAA